GTGATGGCAAGAGGAGAAGGGGACGACCGAGGATGAGATGGCTGGACAGTGTCTGCGAAGCAACCAACATGAACCTGACACAACTCCGGGAGGCAGTAGAAGACAGGAGGGCCTGGCGTGCTCTGGTGCATGGGGCCACGAAGAGTCGGGCACGACTAAACGACTAAACACAACACACACAATCAGTCTTGCCACTGTTAAAAAATTGGATATTGATTCTTTAGCTGTCCAGTTACCTTCTTACTTTTCAAATATTGATGAAAATGGTATTTTAGGACAAACAGCTAAGTTTAGCTTGTTTATTTCAAATGAAGTGCTTTCTGTTTTGATGAGGTCGGCAGTGGGGTTTTTTTTGGAATGCATCCATGGAGGAGAAGACACAAAACCTTATTAAAGAGGGAAGAGACAGTAAAGCAGAAAGCATGAGCAGTAAAAAAGTAAAGTTGAGAGAAACCTCACACCCTTTCCGCTTGCTGAGAGCCCCTGAAGAATGGCAGTGGGTGACCTCTGGGAGTCAGCTGTTGTGCAGTACCTCTCTGGAGCCTTTACTAGCTCTGCAAAAGCCAAAATTTCTAGCCCAATTTCAGGCAGTGCACCTGTTAATTAGTGCATGTGTCTGTCAGCTAACTTCTATGTCTGCAGTTCACTAATTGACAAAACAATAACAAACCATTCTAGTAATGAGCAAAATGATAACCAAATAACACATCCAAGGATTACATAATCAGACATCAAAGCATAATATTTGCTAGGACTTCTAACCAAGGTACACTTTATCACTTTCTGAGTTTTCATCCCTGACAATCTTGGGTAAACAGCTTGGTCATTTAGCCAGATAGGACTGTTTTCTGCTAGCATCCACCACAAAGTCTTCCCAAATAATTTCTCGAATGCCTTGCTCATGTCCAGTAGCAATTTAGGCATTTTACAGCATCTTAAGCATCAACATTTACAGCATCCTTAAAAGAGGAATATTTGTTGCATACCACACTAGGCCTCCTTGCAATTTTTCTGTATGGGCATTACAGTCTCTAATTGTGTTTCAGAGTTTGTGTGTAGTTTTCTTTCTCCAGGGCTCTTTCCCTAAATTTCTTTGTGTTTCATTACCTCTTGCTATGTTTTAAATTCTGTATTCTGGTTGAATGGTTTAAATTCTGTACCATGATTGAAAAGCTCGGAAGAGTGAAGTATTGTTTGTGTAGGAAGGTTGTAGATTGTTGATGATATGTGCGACTGGGTCCAATTGTGAGATGAAGTCAGTGGTTTTTAGCCTTTTCCTCTTCTGGGTCTGCCTTGTAGTAGGTTGTTTCTGGGTATCCATCTTGCCCTTTTCATCAATTCTTCAGTCATCTTAGGTGGGTATTGTAGTATGAGAAACACCTTTTGAAGATCTATGAGTTTGGAGTATCTATCTTGTAGATCTGAGTAGATGCAATTAAATCTAAGGGCTTGTCTGTGGACAGTAGATTTTGTGGGGTGTTTGAGTTGGAACCTGAAGCTCTGAAAGAGTGTGTAAGGATAAGTGGTTTTTTGACACACTGTAATCTTTCTGTATTCGTTTCAGAGTGTTGCACAATTTAAAATTATGGACCTATATGAAATATAGGTAACTAAAAGCAAATTAAAATGTTCAGATAATTAGACTATTTTTGACCAGAAGCAGGGTATTTAAGTGCATTATCTCAGCCATTTGCTGGGTCTTCTTTTGTACAAGTGGTAGGGCATGAATTGCATGCACATAAATACTGCATTGATTGAATTTCTCCATAGTCACAGAAAATTTGTCCAAATAGCCCCATTGATTACTCTTTGATCTTCCTACTTTGGTTTTAAGTCTATTAAGCGACTTCTAAATGGTGGAAGACACTCTTCAGCATTCATCTGTTTGGCAAGGTGTGTTGTTTTTGTTCTCCAAAGGTTTTTGGCCTAGCCTCTTTTTTTAAATAAATATTTAGAGCTTGAGATGTGTGTAGAAAACATTTCCTTGATTTTAGCCATTGTCAAGGCAGTTGGTGTCCATGAAGTGGATGGATGGGCTTGATGCTGTGTTCCCGTATTTTGTTCATTATTTGCTAGCAACTCTCGACATACTTCTGAAAAAGCAATGCCAGCCAAATAATAATCCTTTTCAATGGAGGTAGATTTCCAGGAACCAGAATAATCTTGTATGGTTCATTAAGAGCTACATCCATTTGTCTGGCATATGCTGATTATACCGTATGATTATATCATATTCTGTTGTGGAGTAGCACAGGGACCAGAATTTCTGTTTTCAGGGTTCCTTGCAAGGCGCGCATCTGTGCGACTTTGCCTCCCTCTGCATAGCATACTTTTTCTTCCACTCAGCGATTGTTTTCAGCCCCTTTGGTTCTGGTCATGATGGAACCCCACACGGAGGACAGTCACTTAAGAGAGAGGCAGAGCCCTGCCCAGCGGGGCTGAAAATTAAAGATTACATTTCTTGTTTTAATTCTTTGTGGGTTTACATTGCAACCTGACCCAGTTTCCTAAGGGTGTTATTTCTGGTTGCAGCTTTCTGTTTGGTGTTCAAACAATGTTTTTTGTAGGTCAGGGTTTGATTCGTAATGACTCCCAAATACTTTAGAGCAGTGGTCCTCAACGTTTTTGGGACCGCGGACCATTGGGGGGGTATTGGCTTCGTGCGCGGACCGGTGGGGGGGCTGGGCACCCCTGCGCTCGATCTCTTTATCAGCCTATATTTCCTATGAAAGACTGAGGTCCATTCAGTAGTGAACTTTTAAACAGAAACAGGTTTATTGATTAAAAGTTGTTTTAGGAATAGTTCTTAAGCACATTCTTAAAGTTACACAAAGCTTCAGTATTTTACTTTAACCTCTTCTATCTTAATTAATACAGGTCACACTCTGACTCCTTAAACACTCTCTCTGCTTCAAACCCCCAAACTTTTTTTTCTTCAAAACTCTGTCTAACTGAACTCCCTAGACTGACTCACTCCTCCCTTCTAGTTTTTCTGGCTCTGCCTCCTGACAGCTCTCATTGGTACATGCAAATACACTGCTGAATATTCATACCGGGGTGATCACTTCAGTCAGTGTTTCAAAATCTTGCCTTCCCAGCTAACTCAGAGCTTCCTCTCTGCTTCTCTGTACTTGAAGTGCAAGACACAGGTCTGTGTTTTTAAAGAGTATGGTTTCAACTGGTTGTTTTTATAATATGAGAGAGCGTCTAATGCAGAGGTTAGCTGCTACTCGTTCACCTTGAAGGTTTCTCCCTGAATTGTCAAGGCAAGACCATCAACATAGATGAAGCTTCTGGAATATTGGATGATCATTTGTGTAAATGTTAAAAAGTAATGGTGCCAAGATGCTACCCTTATGGAAACTGTTCCTTTGATTTCTGCAGCGACTCTGCCTGCCTTGAAATTCAACAAAGTATCTTTGGTTTTGAAGTAGAATGGTGACCAATTCTGTTAGTCTATAATCTTTAGTAAGAAGGTAGAGTTTTTGGAGTAGCAGTTGATGGTGGACAGTATCATATGCCTCTATAAAGTTGACCAATGCTGCTCCAGTTTTTTATGTGCCTCAAAACCCTATTCTGTATGTTTGGTTAGATTTAAGATTTGAGCTGTACTGCTCTTGCCAGCTCTAAAACCTGCCTGTTCTGGAATTAGAAGAGGTTCAATTTTAGGGCTATATGGTTTAATATACCGTAATTCGTTCAAACACTTTGTATGTGGCATGGTAGGGAGATTGGCCTGTAGCTTTTGGGGTCTGATGGTTCAGTATAATAATTACTTTCTGCTTTTATTGGAAATTCGTTTACTCACTCAGCAGTTATTAATGAGTTGAAGGAGCCATTCCTTTGTCTTTTCCCCAGAATGTTTAATTTGCTTGATTCAGATATTACTGAGTTCTGCCACTTTGTCATTCTTATATCTCCTTATGGGCTCCTCTAGTTCTGCCAGTATGAAGGCAATGGAAAGTTCATTGGATTCACTCTGAATATCCCTTTGCTGTTTTATTTTTATTATGCATTGGTTGGTCTTCCTTGCCAGGAGCAACTGGCATTGTATTTGACTGTAGATTGTATTTGCATACAGTTTCCTTTTGTTTGGGTCATTGTTCAGTCTTTTCAGTAATCTCCAGGCTGCTTCTTGTCATGTCAAGCTCTGTTATAGTGACTGTCCAGTGAGTTCTTTGTGTTTCTGCAAGAGTCAAGATCAAATTTCTCAAAGTTTTTACTGTATGTTCACTAAATTGATTTTCTTCAAAGTGTGAAATACAGCCTAATCACTGGGTGTATGTTTATGGAATTAGACCTGAGATGTAGCTTGATTCATCACCCTCTTGGAATGGAAGCATGAAAGAATTCTAAAATGGAATTTACAATTTTATCATAGTTCTCTGGTTGAGGGGCAGTCAGAAGCACAGATACATCTGGCATTTTTACAAACTTCTTCCAGTTAGCTTTTTTAAAAATCATTCCTCCTATGGAGTGGTATAGATTGAGGTAAGATGAGTGAGTAGATCTGACATAGAATGGATCTGTGCTGAGTGTTTGGGATTGGATCACCTAGGTTCTTAATGCACTGTTGAGCTATAGGTTCCCTGACAAAAGATTGAGCTGGATTGTAGCCTCTCTGCAACCTGCCATTGTTAAATGAACTGCCTAGTTTAGAGTCATGTATAAGGCACATTGGATAGGATTTTGCCCATTTTATAACATCTTTGCCATTTTCATCATCGTTTTCATAGCCCCAGGTGTTTCTATGCCTGTTCAAATCTCCAACTAGAAAGTGAGTATTTTGGTTTTCCATATTAGTCAGCTTCTTAAAGCAGAATAGTAGATTAAGTGGTTTATAAATCAGTGTTATTATACGTACATACAGCTGGTTCAAATGTCAACGTTTCTATGTTGTCCTCTTCAATAAACTCCACCGAGTGGATTATGTATAATACCTGGTCTTACAAAAATGGCAATTCCATATTGGTTGTGACGCCCTCAGCAGTGAGACACATCCCAGAAACTTTAGTCGATGCCGATCAGTTGCTCTGTGAGTTTCTCGGACGCAAAGAATGTTCCATTTCCATTTGCAACAAAGTGAAGCTAATATTTCCCCTTTAGATGAAAAGAAGTCCTTTATATAAATAGAAGTTGTTGTTTGTGGTCCTAAAAAGGACTGTTGAGTTGTTTTGTTCATCAGCAAGTTTAGGGATTGCGTGAAAAACTGACGCAGCTACGTCTTTGAAAAGAATTGTAAGTCCAGAAAGTTATTCTGAGGGCTAGAATTAAACTGAGCTTACACAAGCCTTCCAGACAAAAAGTCCACTGTAGTCCCCCTTTTAAAACCTCAACAGCATGATTTTTCAGAGTGGTTGGAGGAAACATTTTGCTGTTGTTAAAAAAAAACCAACAACTAGGAACCAGGAATCTTTACAGATCAGTTTCAAACCACAAAAAGATCTCTTGGTAGATCCTGATACAGTGGCGCCTCGCTTCACGACGACCCCGTTAGAAGACGAATCTACTGTACGATTAGTTTTTTGCAATCGCTGCTTTGGGAACCGATTTTTTGCTTAATGACGATCAAAAGCAGCTGATCGGCGGGTTTTTAAAATGGCTCCCCGCTGTGTTCTGGACGGATTCTTCGCAAGACAGGCACCGGAAAATGGGTGCCCTATGAAGGATCTTCGCTGGATGGTGAAATATTTCGCCCATTCGAACGCGTTAACCGGTTTTAATGCATTTCAATGGGTTTTTTACTTGACGACAATTTCGCTCTACAGCGATGTTGCTGGAACGGATTATCGTCGTCAAGCAGGGCACCACTGTACTGTATATGTTCTGATTGCTGCTGTTTTAATTGTCTAGTTAAAGTCATGAGAAATAAAGGTGCCAAATGTCTGCTGTGATTAGCATTTCATACACCCCAAGATGAAACTGATTTTCCACAGTTATTAAAAAAAATCCTCTTGAGGCTGTGTGTGTCTGTGCACATGGGCATGGGAGGACAGCAAATGTTGTTATGCTTTCTTGTTGTGAATGAGTAGTGTTTCCATACTGGTGAATCTTATATATGGATATGACCATAGACAAGGCTTTACAGTATGTGAACTATCTGGCAATAGCTTTTATACTGTATGTTTATGATTGACTCTTAATTTCTTTTGCAGTTCTTTCCAAACCGAATGATTGCATTTTTCCATATAACTTAAAAGAAATGGTGAAGAATAAGGTAATTCTGTTTTTCTTACCATTAGCTGTTTGTAGTATCGTTCAAATTTGTGGAAAGATCAGTCTCATGGTATATGGGTGTAAGGGCATGAAATTAGCCTCATGGCCCATTTCACTTCTTATTGGTGGTGAAAATCTGTTGTGCATTTACTGCAACTAAGTTCAAACCCGTCTGTTTGATCTGCTATATTATCAGTGATTTACTTACATAGCTTGTTGTAGTTAGCAGTGGCCCTGGCTGCCAGATGGGCGGTATGTAAATCAAATAAATAAATAAAAATTAGCACTTTTGATTACAAGCTGTAATGGGAACTATTAAATTTTGGGCCACTTAATATAAAAGTTCTTCCTGATTTGAAAATATATGTTTTTGGGTGGATTACGTCACTGTTTTAAAAGAGCACACATGACACACTTGTAAAAAGGGATGGACAGGAAGGAATGAGAGAAACAAGTTCAAGCAGTAATTGTTAGTTAATGTTCTTATCACGGAACAGTTTAGGTGGTCTGATAGGATGGCAGTTAGTGGCAAAGATCAAAGGTGGTTGAATTCTCAAGAGAGACTATGACTCTTCTTCTTCCATTTCTTCCCCTTCATTTCTTTTTCTGTAATTTAAAGTTGTTCCATATCCATGGAACATAGCAGGTTACAAGAATCAGGTTATAAAGCATCCTGCATTTTAAACTTTGTTCACTGTAAAGCAAAAGACAACAGTACTCTGTTGCTTTGTATATGCAAAGATGTTGATGTCAGTATTGGAGATGGGTCTTACAGAGTACAGTGGTGCCTCACACAACGATGTTAATTGGTTCCAAAAAAATCAACATTGTGTGAAACATCGTTCTGTGAAACACCATTTCCCATAGGAATGCATTGAAAAGCGGTTAATCCGTTCCAATTGGAACGGATTGCCATCGCTGGGTGAAAATCCCCATAGGAAACATCGCTGTGTGAAACAATGTTTCCTCCATTGGAATGTATTGAAGCCGACTCAATACATTTCAATGGCTTTGCGAAGTCCTTTTTCGCTCCTGTAAAAGTGTCTTACAATGTTTGGAAGCTGTTTTAAATGCTTGCAATGGTTAGCCCCCCTCCTGAAACCTATGCAAACTTAATTTGATGTTGTTCTGACACTTCGTTAATTTATGGTAATTTTTTGTTTTCTCCATTGAAAACTATTGAATGGTCTGTCTAATGGTTTCCAATGGAGAAAATTCAAAAAATCACCATAAATTAACGAAGTGTCAGAACAACACCAAAATCAGTTTGCATAGGTTTCAGGAGGTGGGCTAACCATTGCAAGCATTTAAAACAGCTTCCAAACATTGTAAGACACTTTTACAGGAATGAAAAGTGTGAATTCATCGTTGTGTGAGGCACCCGTTGTGCGAGGCACCACTGTATTATATATATCACCATGGCCAGCAGTAACTGTTCCTGTGGTGAAGTCAGCTGAACCCTAGTATCAAATGGAAACCATTCCTTTTGGGTTGGAGGCAAATGCAAAGTGAATCCAGCCAAGTTGACTGAAAGGGGAGGATGCTCACTGCCTGTATTTACAGTGGACCCTTGACTTACAGACGGCTTGACTTACAGACTTCTCTGGCCGCAAAATTTAGGTTTGACTTGCAGACTGAGATTTGACTTACAGACCAGAAAAAAACCAAAATGGAACAAAAATGGCCTGTTACAGGATTAATCGGTTTTCAATGCACTGTAGGTCAATGGAGACTTGACCTACAGACTTTTTGACTTGAGAACCGCCTTCCAATACGGATTAAGTTCTCAAGTCAAGACCCCACTGTACCTTCTGATGCAGCCATGAGAAATGTAGATGGAGGCATGGAAGCTTTCTGGGGAAAAATTGCATGAACATGACCTACTTTGGATCCCAACTTCTTAACCCAAGATATACATTACAAGATCTCTCTCTCTCTCTCTCTCTCTCTCTCTGTGTGTGTGTGTGTGTACATGCGTGCGTGCATGTGTGTGTGTATACACTAGTATACTCTGAGCCATTGTGCTACAGGCAAAGATTTTTTGGGTTAATTAACCATAGTTATGTCTGAATTAGGAAAATATGATTGCCTGGTTTCAAACAAACTAGGATCTGAAAACAACTTCAGACTGTCATGGTTTCTTTTGAATCTCATAACTTCAGTTTTCCAGGTCCACTAAGTTGTGTCCACTTTTGCAACAGGGTTTCCTGGATCTTCTCATTGTAGCTCTTCTTAAAATGCTATGCAGAGGGTCAGCTGTTGTGACATGGGTTGTCTTGTGTTGGGGGAGGGGTCATGGAGAAGGAATCTCTAAAGACTGAGCAGGAGTGCTGGTGTTGACTTTCTAAAATCTATAAATAGCTTTGGCTATGCGAAAGAGCATCTGCATCTGTGTGAATCTACCCATACATTAATACATCTTTGGAGGGCCGCTTATCTTCCATTGTAAGACTGACAGGCAGAAGACAGAAGACCTTTTCATTCGCAGCCCACTATTCTGTGGAATTTCTTTCCAAGAGTAATTGCCCAGTCCATCTTTCACTCCTTTTCAGAGGACATTGAAAGCTTTATTCTTTCTGGCTTTTATTGTGTTTACAGCTATTAAATTTTTGGAATTATATTTTAGCAAGCTTATTTTAGAATGGTTGAAATTTTAAGAGACCTTAACAATTTTATATTGACTCTTACAGTTTTGTATGGTAAGCCACTTTGTGAAGACCACAGGCATGAAAGTTAGCTAATATATGAAGGGTAATGTGAGGATAGATGTGTGGTGGGCACCACTCTTACGTATATCTTGATGAGAAATATGTCTGAACTGGGCCTTTATTATATTATCTCCAAATACAATATTAACATATGAAGGAAAATATAAGTAGACCTATCACTGTAAGAGTTAAAATGAATAAAATGATCCATTTATTCATAAGCTTTACCATGCTTTTCTATTGCAGTAGTTTGGGTGGGATTTTTGAACCTTGGAGAAGTGAACTTAGTTATTTGCTCTTTGGTCCATTCATTTCTGAGGATAGAAATTTGTATAACTGAGCATAGGTTTTTAGCCAAGTGTTTATTTTTCCTCCAATGCTTTTATTTGTGTTGTCTTGTTTAGAATGCTAAAATAGAGATTGCGGCAACAGAGAGGACATTACTAGGATTTTTTCTGGCAAAAGTGCATAAAATTGATCCAGATGTTATTGTGGTAAGTGGCTGTCTTTATTTGCTTCTCAGTCTAAGACTTTTTCCTATCAGCATTGGTTGGGCTGCTGTGATGCAAGGGAATGCTTGCGAGCATTTTAATAACTGATTTTGAATGTGCAGCAATGAAAGTTATAGTAGATTGGGAGAAGCTGTTTACATGCAACGATGGAGAAGGACATTTGGAGCAAGTAGGAAAAGATTTTTAGTGATTCCACAAATGAAGAGGTAGGGAGCCTAGAGTATCCTGTGGTTGAAGGAAGAGGGCAGTATAGGGAAGACCTAAATAGCAGAGACCTGGAAGGGAGAGGTTTGGGACTCCGGCTTTTGGCGGGCAAATGAAAAACAGGGGTGCTTCACAAGGATCTCCTACCTGTTAGGTATACACACATGTAAAGCATTACCAATACAGTCCCGTGCATGTCTGCTAGGACATAAGTCCCAAAGGGAATACTCCCAGGTAAGCAGTCTTTATTGCAGTTTTCAAAATAGTTTTCAGATTTTCCATTAGAGAATTATCACAGTTTTGTGACACACTTTCTTTGATATATCACACCTTACACTTTTACAGATAACAGAACTAGTTCATTGTGTCTTTTGTTGTTTTGTACAGTTTTTCTGTAAGAAAAAAAAGTAATAGAAAATGTTACTTGTTTTCGTTAAGCCTATTCTGTATTGAAGGATTCATATGAACAGTCATACTGTACATTTTTTGTGAAACAAGCCTTTAAATAATATAGACTCTTAGCATTTATATTGTATTATGCTGAATATTATTTATTTATTTATTGAATATGCAGTATATAGTATATATGTTCTGTCCATTTGTCTTTTTTGTTTTATTTTTTTAAAGGGACACAATATTTATGGTTTTGATCTGGAACTTCTTCTCCAAAGAATTAACTTTTGCAAGGTTCCACACTGGTCCAAGATTGGTCGATTGAGAAGATCAAACATGCCAAAGTTGGGGGTAAAATGTTGATTATGTCTCATTACTTCATGATTAAAAATGAGTTATTTTAGTTGCTGTGTTTTGAATTTCCTGTTCATTTGTTTTGATTAGTCATGTACTGTGGATTATATATCAGTTTTGGATTGCCGTGATGATGAGAGTTTTATTTCAACAGTGAGACAAAGCCAAGCCAATATAGTTTACTTGTCTCAACTAGATGGAGATTCTGACACATTAATGACTAATAGTGTTGCTTTTGTATGTAAGAAATTATGGGAAAAATATATGTTGGCTTGACTGGCAAATCGTTCCTTAGAGAATAATTATGTTATTTTTTTCTAGTTCTGTGGAACATTTGTTTCTTACTACATTAGGTATGGCTGGTTGTTTTCATCTTCTTTATGAACAGACTTCACTGCTTTGCCTTTCCCTCAACATACTATTACAGAATGCTCTTATCTAGTATTGTAGAAAAGTGGTAAAGTTAACCTATCATCTTTCTGCATTTAGTTTAAAGTTGATTAGAGGAATTGAAACTGCATGTTACTACATTAATTGCATTGCAACTTAAAGCTGTCAGATTTTTTTTCCTGTGCCTCTGTTAGAAGATGGCACTTAAGCTTTTTCTCCACTGATTTGTTCCATGCCATTATTGCAAGGGTAAGCAAACGAAGGCCCTCCAAGGACAGAGTCTGATTCATTTCAAGTAGAGTGCAGGGGTCTATCCACAGAGCTCCCACAATCTCTGGCGTGCTATTGTGCAAGCCCAGACTTGGCCTACATTGTTTTTATCAAGGGTTAATGTCTGCCCAATTATTAAGCTGTGCTGGAAAGAGCTTCCCCTGGGTCCCATCACTGAGACCTATTCATCATATAGAGACATGAGTGGAAAACTTTCTCAGTTATAGCACCTCGACTATAGAACACCTTCCCTTTGGAGCCGTGACCGGTGCAGAAATCAGCATCATTTTGGTTCAAAGTCAAAATGTGCTCATTTATCAGAGTCTTTCGGTGTTGGGGATCTTGTTCTGCACAGGTTTTAATGCAATCTGTTTGCTTTTCAATTTTTTTAAAGATTTTTATGTTTTAAATTATTTGGCTGTGTGATCTGACCTGAAATCATGTGATACAGGGTAGACTGTAGATGTTTTAAATAAAAAAAAATTAAATTAAGTAAATATGATTTCATAAAGAGGTATAGGACAAGCTCTGGAAGAGCCCCATCTTATGAGCGGTGTTAAGTGGAGATACTTTGAACTACAACTCTCATAATCTACAACTCTCATAATGTTGGCTGTGTTAATGTAGGTATGTGAGAGTAGCAGTCCAAACCATTTGGAGACAATTGGCTGTTGAGTAAGACTGATGATTAGGTTGATATCTTTGTTCCCAACCACACCATTTCCTTTTGTTTCTAAGAGTTCACTTGGTTACTAACTGGCTGTTGGTGAAACCATGAAGTTGTGATAGATGATGAATTAAATCCTTAATATCATTATAAGGTTGTTTGTATCTGTACAGGATAGAGAAGTAACTTCTATGTTATGGATGAACTAGGCAATTAGTCCTGGAAAGATGTGGATGCAGACTCTAAAGATGCCTTTTCCCCCCAATGTTGATTAAGGGTCGTAGTGGATTTGCTGAAAAGAATGCAGCTTGTGGTCGCATGATCTGTGATGTAGAAATTTCAGCAAAGGAACTGATTCGCTGTAAAAGTTACCATTTGACTGAACTTGTCAGTCAGATTTTGAAAATAGAGAGAGTGACAATTGCACCAGAGGAGATAAGAAATATGTACAGGTATGTGATTATCACTTTTTAATGAAATGATCATTCTACTAGCAGTGACCAGAACAATTACGATTTTAAAAAAAAAACACCTATGGCTGGTGTCCTCAAAACGTTTTTATCTGCAGTTCCCTTTATGTCAGGCTGTAGGCCAGGATGACTGTGGATCGAATTGCAAATTGTAGTTCAAAACATCTGACAGGCACAAGCTTGCTTAACTCTGATTTGCAAAATCAAGGAAGGATATCTAAAATTTCGTTTACTTGCTAGGAGAGAATATTTACAGATATTTGAATAATATATTTATTTGTTTCTATAAAATATTTATACCCTTCCTTTCTCCTCAAGAGGACCTAAGGCGGCTTACAATATTCAAACAATATAAAATCTGGAAGAGAGGGAGCGAACACCCCACCTCCACTTTAGTCAGTCAGGAGAAGCCTGTCTAGGGGGAAAAAGAAAGAAAGATGAAAAGAGAAACCAGTGTTGAAATTTTTGAATGTGAGGGACGGCTAGATTGATCTGGGAGTCTCTCCTCCTCATTGAAAGGAAAGCTTATTTCTTTTGTTTTTGTGCTAAATGTCTGTTCTACGCTTTAGTAATCTTAATTAATCAGAGAAGATTTTGATCTTTGTATTTATCTCCTGCAATGAGATTACCCAAAATAACAGCTCAGGAAATGTTGAGGATCTCGCTTTGGGAAGTAAACACAGAGACTTCCTTTTTAAATCAAGATTTTAAGGCGAAGAACAGGCACTTTATAGGATAATAAAAGGGATAAGCTATGTATAACTAACAACATACAATGCTACCTCGACTTACAAACTTAATCTGTATTGGAACGGTGTTCGTAAGTCGAAATATTCGTGAGTTGAAGCACCATTTCCAATTGAAATGCATGGGAACGGGATTAATCTGTTCCAGCATTTAAAAAAAAATACCAAAAATAAAAATAAAATGCAG